GCAATTTAGACTGGCTTGATTGCCGGCCCGGCAGCTTGGGCCCAAAAAACCAGGAAGAAACTCGGGGGGGGAGGAGAGAGGGCAACAACAGGGGAAGAAGAGTCACGACCCAGGCAATAAGGGGAGGGGGGATACATAGAGGGAGGTTTACCCAAGCCATTAGTTTTAGCAATGTTCTATTTACAAGCTGCATGTACCTCTTAATAAAGAAGTATTTATCTGACCCAAGCCTGGTTGTGTGAGAATGCTTCAGAACAGAGTTGGACATCGTGGACTTGACACCTAGACTAGTGGGATTCACAGATGCAGACTGGGCAGAAAACACTGCTGACTGCAAGTCCACTAGTGGCTATGTATTTTTCTATGGGGGTGGAACAGTGAGCTGGGGAAGTCACAAGCAAACCGCAATAGCAGAGTCCTCTGCAGAAGCAGAGTGTGTGGCAGCGACAGACGCATGTAATGAGACCGTGTGGCTTAGATTGCTTGCAGACATGGGCATAGACAAACCAACCCCTACACAAATCTTTGAAAACAATCAGAGTTGCATCAGACTTTCACAGTCAGAGAAAGTAGGTGGGAGAACTAAGCACATTGACAAGGGTTAATCAAACCAGACTACTGTCCCACAGGAAACATGACAGCGGACTTCTTCACAAAGCCATTGTCGAGAACCAGTTATCAGAAACTAAGAGAAAAACTAAATATTGTGGGACACAGAGACATTCAAAGTTGAAAAGAAGGGGTGTTGGAAAATATGGGGTTTCAACCAAGCCCGTCTCACACAAGCATAAAGGGAAGGGTGGCTTCACTGCAGCCTAGCTTTGCTGCTTTGTGTGGGAGGGGCTTGGAGCCCACCTTTTTTCCTGTTTCCTTAATTTTCCGTCTCTTCTCCTCATGGCTCTCCACGAAATAAGAATGAATCCTCTCTCCTCCTCATGGTTTTTGTAATAACATTTCACAACCCCCAACAAGGCAGACATTCTATTTGCCTCAATTTTACTACGTAGGAAAGTGATGAAGTATCCAGTGATGTGCTAATGCTCAAATCCCCCATATTAAAATGTATACACGCACATTCCAGCTGTTTTGATTCATAATACCAGTCTAAAAACCTTGGTTAACTGGGAATAATTTATCCATTCCAATTCAGTGAAAATATTCTGTTTCCATAAACTAGTATCACCTGTAATTAACACCAAAAATATTTCAGTATTTCTGTATCCAATTCTGATTGCTTTCTTTCCCCCCCAATGTGTATATCCTGAATGTTGCCTAATCTTATTACACATCTTCAGGTTAAAAAAAAACAAACTAAGATTTGAGCAAAACAGGAACACTAATTAGCAGTACCTAGTCAAGATACCACCATATATGTAGGATATCCATCAAATCATAATCTTCTGATAAATAAAATTAGGCAGGTGGCTCAGCTTGGCCCCACCAAATGAGATACCACAGCTTTATCATGTATGAGCACATACTTTAGGGAGACAAATGTACTCTATAGAGTAAAAAAATTAGCTATCCATATACCATCAAGTAAAAAAAAAAATCTAGATCTCTAAGCCTGAAAACCATTGTGCCCTCATCAACAGGTGGGCAAGTGCTTCCAAGATGTGTTTTGATTTACAGATCTCTGAATCCACTAATTAGAGTCAGATGCCAATCCACTAATTGGTGGCATCAGTCAGCTGACTCCACCAATTAGTGCACTGCTTGGTAGCGATCAACATGTCTTGATTTATCTCCCAAAATTAAGTAGCATAAGAACAGGTTCATACCTGGGTACTAGGGAATCTCAGGGCTAGATTGGGAAGTAAAAAAATCCCCGAAAGTAGCAGGAGCAAACCTGTTCCATTTGCTGCCAAGAAAACTATGTGGACCTTTCAAATTGGAGCTCAATTTGAAGGCACCTTTTACCTGCAGACATACACTTAATGGAATTAAGAAACACCACATGGCTGAGATCAAGAATTTCTTTTTAACATCAGAACAGCTGTTTACAAAAACTCCAGGGGCAAAAATGTACTGCTTGATTTCTCGCCCTACCTCCCATTTTGCTTCATTTCAGGGGCTTGGTTTAAAGGAAAGGATATAATACCTTTCTTTTTAAATAACTGATGAGAGAAACCATGCAGATCTAAGTGCATGCAGTGGAACCCAATGGACCTTCTACCTTAAATGGTGTCCTAAGAGCCACTGCTTACTTGGCAGGTAATATCCTCCACACGGTACGGGTTGTAAGATTTCTGGCAAGTTCGACAGAACTGCCTAAAGTAAACCTGTGAAAGGAAAGAGAAGATTAAGGAAATCCCTTTCCAGGGCAGGAGGATCCCTACCACCACCACTCCAGCAAACGAAGCCTATCTTGGGCAGTGTTAGGCTCCAGGGTTTAGTGGCCGTGATGTAGACAGATTTCCTGATGTTTCACCTGCAACTGTGGCTGGCATCTGCAGATCCCCTTGCCTCTGAAGATCCCAGCCACAGTTGCCACTTCCTGAAGTATCAGGAAGTTTGTCTACACCATGGTCACTAAATCCTGAAGCCCAACAGATTCCAGTTGTGAAAGCCTACACCAGTATAAAGCCTACCTTGTTTGTGCCCTGTACGCACCAGACGTAGGCGCTTTCCCATCGAATGTTACAGTCCTTGCAGTGGTAATAGCCATACTTCTGCTCTAGGAACTAGAAAACACAGCCATTAAAAAATACTATTTTAAGTCCTCCTCTGTATTCCTCTTAGAATATCTTTCCTCAACCTGATGGCCTGCTAAGGTGTTGGACTGGAACTCCTTCAAGTCCCAGACAGAATTCTTACAGGAGTTCTTATGCAGGTTTTGTACCAAATTCATTTATATAGTGGATTTATAGGGCTGCTCAACTCAAACAGTGTGACTAGGCAGTGTACATCAGAAAAACAAACAATAAACCAAAGGAACCACGTATCATTAAAGCAATCCTCACCTTTGGCAACTTTAAGGTATGTGGATTTCAATTCCCAGAATTCCCCAGCCAGAATTTTGGGAGTTGAAGTCCAAATATCTTAAAGTTGCCAAGGTTGTGGAACACTATTAAACCATACCCAATATATAAAATTCAAAATAGCAACTCAGCACAATAAGGAAAACAACCAAAATCCACTCAGCTGGACACATATGCATGAGGAAAAAGCCAGGTCTTAATAGCTTTCCTAAAGATGAACAGAGTTGGAGTATGTATTATCTAGTTAAAAGAATTATTAGATTAAATTATTAAAGTACAAGAAAAATATCAGTTAAAAACAGCTGAAACATTTAGAAAATTGGGAGAAAGACAAAACATTCATACATAGCATCCACCCCAGAACCACTTGAGTGAAGCACTGGATCTTCCATGGACAGCCAGGAAATATAATAGTAGCCAGCAACTTTAGCTGATCTTGAAAAGCCAAACACAGTTGAACCACCAGGAACCCCAGGATTGTCTCCTAATCTAGGAAGTTCAACCCCACTCCAGAAAGCAGCATCAACAAACTACTTCCATGTTGCTGCCAAGATAGAACAAGATGGACATTCTGAAGGGGCATAAGGCAATAAACTCAACTTTGGAGAGGCATTCCTGTTTTAGTACAAAAGCAACCAGATGCCTCTGAGTGTGAGAGGCTGCTTCAATCCTTTGGAAGCAAACTACACAAGATCTCTCATGAAGGTTACTTTAACTCTTAGCATTTTCTCAAAGTATTTCCCCTGGAAAGGGTATTTTAGTCTCACTCTGTTACATTCTATACCCACAACGGAACCCAATCCCACCTCTGATTTTGGCCAGTTAAATTTCCTCCAGGCAAGTTTTGCCCCAGTCAGACACCTCTTAGGGCTTACTTGCATGAGCAAGATGCTTCTCCACAATAATCAGCCTTTATTTAAGGAACCAGACCACCTCCTCTGAGTGCCATTTCTTCAGAAACTTGTTATGTCTGTGATCACAATAAACATTTACTTCCTATTCAGATACCATGTCAGAAGTTCCTATTCAACTTACCTTCCTCCCAACATTTCTGCATCATCTTCATTCTGTACAGAATATAACTATACAATTCCACTAACAGATCCAATCTTGATACTGCAATTCTGAGTCATCTACATATTAATTTTTTCCTCAGTTTGCTTCAAATTTTGGCTTTAACTTAATGCCCTAAATAGGTCCAGCAAATTACCCTTTGCTACATGAACTGATGGATGCACAATAAAACATTTCTGAAGCAGTACTCCAGATTGTCCCACTATTTCAGGGGAACACAAGAGACAAAGCTTTTTGGATTGCACTGCCCAGAAGCTAAGATTGTCCCACCAACCTACAGCAGTCTGCTTGTTTCTAAGATCACATATGACTAACAAGTCTGCTGTATTTCAGTGTTCTTTTGGATGCTGCTTCAGAACACAACCGCACCTCTGCCAAATTGGTTGTACATTTTGATTTATAGCTGTTGCACTTTCAAATAAGCTGGACACAGCACAGCTGGAAGATTACAGGAGTTGAACTATAACTTATTTGGAAGTTCTATGTTATAGAAAGCTATCATGTTAAGAAGGGATTTAAAAGTGGGAAATCATTTATTGTAATAATGCATTATAGATATTTCTGTTTACTGCTGCTTAAATCTGCTCAGAATATGGTGGATCAATTCACAGCAAAAGAGAAATGGAGGGTTAAAGTTAACACTGCATATTAGATGTATTCCTTTTACTTAAAATGCAAGCCCCTATCACTTTTGCTTAACAGAGCATTTAAGATTCTTATGTATATACATAAATACTAGTTCACACATCACATGCCATTCTTAACCAGTTTGTTGTCTGAGTCAAAACTGGCTGAGTCTATCAACACACAGTCATGAGCAATGGTTTACAACACACACTGGCTAAGTTCACACATCACACTATGCAACAAACAAGCAAACCATATTATGGCTTACTCTGATGTGCAAACCCAACCAGTCATAGAAATAAGCCAGAAAGTCTGCTAAACCAAGAACTTACAAGGCATGAATGGCACCAGGGAATCCACTACTGCTAGAATCTGAGAATAATCACTTCTACTTCTTCAACACCTGGACATTTCCCTCATGATGTGCTTGAATCAGCCAGCCCACTGTTGGGACTTGTGTCTGAGTCCTTATTCTGGTTCTCCTTCCCAAAAGAACAGAGAGAGAGGAGAAATCTGGCAGGTTCCTCCAAGACAACTTATTTAGGAAGACCGAATTCTAAGGACTAAGCTGTCCAATACCTTCACCATCACACTTTTTTTTTTTTTTTTTAAGCTAAAGGCAGACTTAGGTTACTCTCTTCTCTCAGCCAAATGGAAGAAGTGCCTCTCTGCCTACCAATTTCTCTTTTGCTAAATTCCCTGGATATAGAACAGCATTTCTCAACCTTGGCAACTTTAAGATGAGTGGACTTCAACTCCCAGAATTCCCCAGCCAG